AATTTCCATGAAGATAAATATAAAATGAGAAATTACTAAACTCCTGTACGAACATATTTTTTTTGTTTCTAAGGTTAAGCTTTGCTTATCCCTTAGATGTAAAGGTTTTGAAGAGTTTTAAATTAATTCAACTGATGGAGGTGTTTAGCCTAAATCAGTAGCATTGTAGACTTGAAACTATCTGTGGATAGGTATTTATTCTCCTCTAAATGCTGTAGGTAGGGAACTATTTTCCTTTAAAGGCAGTTTATATTATTTTTTAAGGGAATTTTGCAACTTCTGTTCATTAATTGTAGAATATGCCCAAGTGCCTATGAAAAAAATGATAATGGTATTGATATCTCATCTTGAAGGGTCTCAAAACAATTTACAGATTGGTAGTATAACCACACTGAAATGAACCCAGCTTCTTGGTGGAGCATGGCAGCTGTTTAATAGCCCATAGCAAAACTATACAACAGCAGGTTGTGGAAAAAGAGATGAATATGCATCAAACACAAACTGGCAGTGGAGGATTTAGGTACTGTATTAAAATTAAAGTTAGGTGAAGTGGAATTTCTCTAGAATATTGAGTCTGTGTATGAAATGCTCTACTTTTTCTGTCCACAGCTCCTAGTACGAGGACCTGTGGTTAGCCCATGTGAAAGGCAGAGGACTGGATGCTGAAATGTAATCCCTGATGTATACTGTATAGCAATGTATTTGACAAACAAATTTAATTGTGGATACTTTGCTGTTTGCACTTGCAGAGGGGTTTATTAAAAACATTTGATGTTAAAATGGGTGCCTGAGGTATATCTTGAGCAGATGTGACAAATTGGTTTTGATGGGGGTGGCAAAAATTTTGGCTTGACTACTTAGTTTTAGTAATTACTTGTTAAAGAAAACTGAATACTGCTGGAGAAGGCTGTGTTGCTGACAGCTGCCCCAGCTATGATGTCTGAGAGGTGGTTTTTTTATAGATGTAGAGCATTTATTTGCTAGGAAAAAGAGCAAACCAAGAAAGGGAACAAGATGCTACCAGATAACGATTCCCTTAGGTCACTGTTGGCCTGAACTGAATTTTGACCTGTGATTGAGACTGTATGATCTATAGATCTAGCATATGCCACTGTAACTTCTTTTTACCATTTTCCATATAGCACACGAAGATCTGCAAACTTTATTTGTTCTAGGAACATGTATGAGGTCCAGTTGCACCATAGCTCTCTGCAGCTCATGCCCAACTTAAAAGGAGCAAACATGACTTGAACAATTTTTCATGTGCTTTAGTAGGCATGTATGCATTTATTTATTTATTTGGATAATTGGGTTTTCCTTCAGCTAAGGAAAAGCTGGTGTTGCTGACATTACAATGTGTTTGTGAAGAAAGACTGATACCACAACACATGCAAGCAACTACAAGGTCATTACTTACCCAGCATAATTAGAACATCCATTCCAAAGGGGGAAAACATTTAAAAGATAAAGAGTGAATTTAAAAATTATTCTTCCCAATGCATTTTTTTTCATAATTATAGTTTTAACAGCTTGTGGTGATGGTAGAAGCAGCTACTTAAGAAAAATTAGAAGCCTCATTCGGGGAAGATGATCCCTCGAGGGACTTTGTGTTGTCATTTCTTAAGAACCACAAGCAGAAACCTCATTCAGGATGCTGTGTGTTGTTTTGATGTATAGGGGGTATACTTAGCTTATTATGGCCAATGCTGGATATTTTAATTAAAAAACACCACAACAGCCACAGATGTATTGTTTCTTCCCTTATTTCTTCCCTTGTCTGTGTACAAAAGCACAAGTGTACTACTGCCCCTGAACTGCAAGGAATGAATATCATAACAGACAGGCAGGAGAGAATCAGTAGGTTTCCTAAATTCATGTGTGACGTATCTTAGCATCAAAATTCTCATTGCAGCACACAAACCTTTTCTAGTTCTCCAAGATTTCTGCAGTTGCCAAAGTGAAGTGGGAAATGGAGAGGAAAAAAAAAAAAAACAACAAAACCCCAAAACAAAAACAAAACAAACAAAAAAACACAAACAAAAACAACAACAACAAAAAAAAACCAAAACAAAACAAAACATGAAAAAAACCCAAAAAGCAAAACAAAACAAACAAACAAAAAAAACCCCAACAACAACAACAAAAAACCACCACCCTAGACCAGTCACTGCATTTAATTTATGAGCAAGATTATGGTTTTACAAATAACCTTCATGATAAATAAAGTCTCATGGCAACATTTTCAACTGTGCTTTTATCAAGGCTCTGAGTGGTGTGTGTAATATGCCTGGCAATCGAATCACAGCTGTGTGCCTGGGTAGGGAATCTCTGTGGAGACAACACTTCCTTAATTTAAACAATTGTAGGCTGCAGGAGTTCAAAAATTTCAGCTGACTTTAACTGTCACTAGCCCAAGCACCTTTATCCCCAGGCGAGCAGCAGCAGCTGGATTTCATTTCCTGCAGCCAGACTGTCCGACATCTTTGCTGAACATCCCGGGAACTGAGCGTCTTTACTTTAAGGATTTTATTCAAGGTGACAGCTCCTCACACTTTAGCGTTCAGATCACCTCAAGTAGCTGAGATATCAGTGAAAATGAGAGCACTTCTCCAGCAAACTCCAAATTTAGATTGACTGAGGTTATCCTTAGGCCTCTAGACCCAGCCTCCACGACAGCACAGGCCTGCCAGTAACTTTAAAACTACAGCGGAGTTTGTAATGATGTCTGGGGAGAAATGTTCTGCTGGAGCATTGGAGGATTCTATAAGCGATAGGAAATGATGTCAGATTTAGTTAGGGCTGGAGACAGTGTTAGAATATACTTGGCATAATATGGCACCGGTATCTCTGTCAGCATCTCTGTTTTCTGTCACCGCACACAATCCTGGGCCTGTCTGTAGCCCTGACAGTGTCTTTTCAGATCAGGTTATTGCCAACTCGGAGACTGGCTCAGCACAGCACCATACAGCCCCCTTTGTTTGAAGTCTGCCCTTTTGTCATTAATGCACTTGATGTCTATTTAAATCTGATGGTGAATGCAGTATCTGTTTTCCTGTCAAGAGATCATTGACAATATTAATACCTCATGTCCTTGCCTCATTTTCTAAGCACTGACACCTAGCTACAGTCTCCAGCATTCATCAAACAGCACTCTCACCAGCAACTCTATAAACAGTCTTGCTTCCAGTCCTTAAGAAATGCAGCAGACCTCAAAAAAGACTTTTATCAATGCCAGTGAAAAAAGAGTCTGAAGAATGCCATTAATAAACTGTTCATATCCTTTACATTTAGAGCTCTAAATGGCCTTGTTACCAACTTAATGCTTGCTTCAGTTTGACTTGGAATATCATCTGTTTAGGGGAAAAAAAAAAAAAAAAAAGCTTACTTTTCATTAGATGCTTGTTTAGGAATGATAATTTCATCCCTTGAATGTGGAAACTGTTCCACTAGTGAAATTATTGAAATTATTGGAGAAAGCTTTATAGAGGAGGGGTAAGGGATCAGACTCTGCACCATATAGTTCCCATTTATGCTATCCTGAAGAGGAATGTGTTTTTCTCAACAAATGACAGGCCTATCATTTTTTTTTTTTTCCTTCCCTCATAGGAATGTGTTACTATTGTGATGTCTTAGAAGGGAAGAAGAGCATGGGTTAACGTTAAACTTGCACAGCCCATGCCTTCCAAGGCTTTAGTTGCTTATCTGATGAGAGTTATACTGGAAAAATAGATGCAGAATATCAAAGCTTGCATGCTTAATTGATGCTGCAGGTGGACACAGTATACACGAGTCCTGGAAAGCCAAAACAGCAATGAATTGGGTATCTATTCCTCCCCATCTTTACCCTTTATGTAAGGTGGTGTTTGCCTCCTTTGGGCTAGTTGATGTTTGCCCTTATGGGGCTGAGCTAGATACTTCAATGCCTGCTGTGTCAAGACACTCCCAAGGTAGAGACCCTTTCACCTTCCTTCTGTGCATGGGAGATGACTTTGACTGTATGCACCTAGGGGCACAAAGAACAACACTGCTTGTAAAATTTAGCATCTTTGAGGATGTTCACAGGTGGGATGTGTCTGTGAATTTATGCTTCCACATATGACTTAGTACCACCAGAGGGGATGTTTTTGAATGAGGCAGTGACATCTGCAGGTATGTGTGTCTCACCCACAGCAGTTAAGGCTTCCTTGGGTATATTGCTGCCTGTACCCACTGAGAATGATGTGCCTAGTCTCCCCAAAGCAGTGTTCTGGCTAATTTTTTAAAGCATCCTCTATGTACTAATATTTAACCTAATTTATAATTGCATCTTGCTTATGGGATGTTGTTTGGAGAGCTACTACAGAAATGTTTTTACTAAATGTTTATTTGTATATCTGGGAAAAACTCTGGAGTCTGGATGGCTAGCCGTTAGGAAGTCCCAAGTTGTAGCCCATGTCTGTCAATGACTTCCCATGTGGATTTCAGCCGATCACTTCAGTTCTCTGCCACTGCAAAGCAGAGATGGCTTTAGGTGTTTGCAGGATGACTTTGTGAAGGTTTGACAGTTTTTTTCTGGATCTGTGTTAAACTGTTACTATTTGCTGCTTTTTTTCTTTTTGGTTTTAATCATTGGGAAAACTCTGTAAACATGTAGCAGGGAGATTACCGACAGTATAAAATGTAACTTCAACCCAGACTTCCGGTTTTAAAAAGCAAGAGAGAGGTACTATGATTTAAAATATAGTGTATGATGTTTCAGTGTTATGTCATTCTATTTTTGAAGACACTTGTTAATGTATGTTTAACAGGATAGGTCGTGAAGGTGTTTGCACACATTTTCCCAGTGGAATCAAAACTGACAATTGAAATGGTAATACAGAACATTTAAAATGCACAAACTTTCTTTTGCAGGACAAGAGAAAACTGTTTCCTTCCCTACTTCAAATTGTCCTAGTTATGTGCTTTATTTGTGTGTTATGCCAGTGTTGTCCTCATTGTAATTAATTTCCTTTTTATTGTAGGTATTTTGGGAAAATGCCGCTACATTTACTATGGAAAACATTCTGAGGGCAACAGATTCATCCGAGACGACCAGCTCTAAAACACAGCATTGTTTTGTGCCTCTTCAATCTATCCACATAAGAAGCACAAATTGCATCTAAATTTTAAGCATGTAACTAAAGTCCTCTAGTGCCTTCTGCTGACTTTGCCAAGCCTGTCAAGATCATCCTTCTATCTTAGTCTGAGTAGTCACATAGAGATTGACATGATTGCCTTTAAGCAGGTCCCATCCACCAGTGTGACAGACAGCTGCAGCCAAGCACCGGGCCTGACAGGAGGATCACGGTGATGGATTGCCTGGTCCAATTGCTGCTCGCAGAAGAGCAGGGGTCACACCTGGGGCTTCAGTGAGCATGCTCTGTCGGTCGGCACCTTAGCAAAAGCACCGTGTTTATCTCCAGCTTGCCTGTTGAGCGAAAGGAGCGAAAGTGGCTGGCAATATCAAAGTGTTTATAAAAGAGAGAGGCTATAATTTCAGATGAAAAAGCCTTTATCTGTTCTTTGTGGTTTTGTTTTTTTTTGTTTTGTTTTGGTTTGTTTGTTTGTTTGTTTTTGTTTGTTTTTTTTTTTTTTTTTTTTGTTGTTGTTTTTTTTCCTCCCTGTGAATTAAGTGCTTGTGTTTCTGTCATCTCATACATGCTTACACAAATCCTTCCACAGTGGTTTTATTGGTTTGGTGTAACCCACCCCCTCACAAATCAGTCTAGATGGACTATTTTTTCTTTCAACAAGGAAAAAAAAGTATATTCTGGAAATATTTTAGCCATGCAAAGTACTATCAATTTGTATAGTTGTTTATATGTAAAGGAAAAGGATTTAAGCAATTTTGCAGACAAACAAAATTTGCTAATTCTTAAATTACATCTCAACACTTACTAACTCTGACCTTCAGAAAAGCAATCATTTTTTAATGCTTTAGAATAGTGGCACAGCTTAACTGTATATACTTGGAAGAAGCCCTCAGTTGTGATACTGACAGTGTGTATTATTCCTGGTTTATTGCACAAGATATTTTTAACTTGTACAGAGATTACATTTAGAGCTAAATGCTTAAATTTGGAATGAGAAAAGTGCTTAAAAGGAGTGATATAAAATAAAATTGACATCAGATGAGTATGATTATTAAGAGGGGAAAAAAGTCAATAAAAGTAACTGGTGGAGTTAACATAATTAACAGCTTTACTAATATGTTAGAGACAAGTTCTGATTAATCCATTTTGATGTCTATGTAAGAAAGACTACTGTCAAATTTTCAGTGGAAAAAATAAAAAATGCATAGCATATTTCTTGCTTTTCTGATAAGCAGGTTGGACATATTTAGAATCATAAATTTGTTACTGTGGAAAAAAAATCCTAATACTTCATGCATATATTGTGTTAAATGCTACTATGTACAATGGGATTAGTCAAGACATATGCAAAAATTATGACCTCTGGGCTGTTCCAAACACATGCATATTGGTCCCAGTTAAAAGCTATCACTGTCTGGCTGTTCTTGGCTCGTTTGAAATTACTTGGTGGTCTTTATTCACTTTTCTGGTTGAAAAAAAGTCAGTTTTTTAGAAGCTGCCTACTTTGGGGGGCTCTTAGCTAGTGTTGCAGGTGGAAGTAAACTGGATATTGAAGCCAATCATGAAATCAGGTTTGACTGATGAAAAAGAATGAGACACTGGCAGAGTGACACAGGAAAGCTTGTTGCTACTGAACATTTTAGGCCTTACTCAGTAAATGGATGCCTTCACTCACTCTAAAAGTGTACAATAAATCTTTAATAGATACCTAAAATCGGTGATGAATATGGAATGATCCAGTTCACACCACCTGTGGTTTAGATTGAGCTCTGAGCTGTTTGCCATACAAATTGGTTTTCGGAAAACACATTTTGGCCACTTGTAATTTTTCTGCTAATGTCAAACATGTCTACAAATTAAATGACAATTCATATTAGAAGTCCTAGGAGATATTAGATAAAGGGAAACTACATGCCTCTTTTTCAGTCAAAAATATCATAAGAAATATATAGGGCACTTGTCATCTCTCTTGGTTACCAAAATAACAGTGATCCTAGTTTGTTCTATCATATTGTCTGTTTTGAAACCACCACACATTTTGGGCACATTTGATCTGGTTGCATGAATGTTCTTGTCTTTATAAAAGGCTTTAACCCTGCCTCAAACAATAAACAGCACTTGCAAACTGACCGCATGATTTTTCCATCTTTATTTTGCTTGTTTACTTTTCCTAATGTCAAAACCATTTCTGTCATTTTCAGGAGTGTTTTCTTCCCAGCAAAGCTTTGGAGGCAAAAATATTTTTGGAATGAGATGTGATCAAAGTCTCTTCCTTTTGGTTTTTCTTTTCACTTGGAGGATTATATACCTATAGTTAAATATGGTAAAGCCCTAATTAAAATTTGCTCAAAGGGAATTCACACTAAATGTCACTGATTCTGGAAAATCAAAAAGATAATCCATGAATAATTGTTTTATATTGCTAACATGTATTAGGATACTATTTAAAAACAAACATGGATGTTTGTTACTGTTTATGCTAACATCATTATTTTTTAATATGCAGAACATCTATTTTCATATGTCTTCTGCTGAAGTTCTGTTTTAAGAAATGGCAAACTGGGGGTGCTATCTACACTTGGTTCTTTCCTCAGTGGGAACTATGCTTGAATTTTTTAACTGAACTGAGTAGCCTTTAGGATGAAAGTTGCAGTAAAGTAATCCAAGAAGAGATTCCACTCTCACTCCTTTACTTCCCCTTCTCCATATATGGCACATCTTTCCTTCTCAAGATTAAACTAGGCTATTAAAAATAAAAGATTTACCTACAAATTTACAAGAATTTTAAAATGTGTAACTTCTCAAGGAACCACTATGTTCTTCGTTCTCTGGGTTGTCACAAGAAAAATTTTGGCCACACATGTTTCTTGATGGTTAACAAGGTTTGAGATCCAAGGTGTGCTTGAATAAGTAATCTTAAGATACTACAAATATTTTTTAAAAATATCCAAATTTCAGTCTTATGTTCAGTCTTGTGATGACCAGTACTTTGGCTTTTGACAGACATCACATGTCTTCAGAAGTGAAGACGAGGAGGCAAATGGTTTTACTAGTAGCTGCCTGTAGTAGCTGTGCTTCGTGCACTCCTAGATTTATGTATTGAAAATGTTAATTCCTAACCTTACAATTAAAAATAAGAAAAAAAAATCCAAACTCTAATATTGAAGTGAAATTTTAAAGATAAATGACTTTCAGTGAAAATCCTATGGTTGTGGATACACAGACCTAACTTTAGAGCAAACTGGATATAATTACATGTGTTGCATGCATAAATGATTTATGGGATAGCTGAAAGTATGTTACCACTGAAACCACTTTTTTCTCCTTTGTTACAGTGAGTCTCACAATACTTAGTCTAGTATTTGCTTTACTCAAATTGTGCGTCCCCTTTAAGTCAGTGTTATTATCCATGAGAATTAGGGTTACTGTTGCAAGGCTGGTATGCAGCTCCCTTTTTAATATATTTGGCTCTTTGAGCAGAGCAGTAAATGATTGCTGAATGTTCAATTCTCACGTCTTCTTTGCAGATGAAAAATCACTGTATGTTGGTCTAATGTTGCACTCATTTAAGTCAGAAGAAAGAAACTTGCCTGTGCTTTTGAAAAGTCTTTCTGTACATTACAGGGTTCACTTGCTGCCAGTTGATGTATTAATATTTTTTATTCCTGCCAACCGTATGAGTATGTTGGGAAATGTTTACCCCCAGCAGAACTTTGCTAGATGCAGCCTTTGTGGTGAGGTTCTGAATCAGCCCATTTTATACTGACTCACACTGAGTCTTGCCACATATTTCTTCTTTATGTGGTGTGATAGTTGGCACACGTGTCTCTGCTTGCCCAGTTTGGGGAAGTTTATTCTCTTTATTCTATGTACAACTGCCTGTCTTTCTGCTTTGTTAAATGGTTGACATATGTGAAAGAAAGTCATGAAATTCAGCTTTCCAGAGGTGTAACCATATAGCCAAGATTGAGGCTGCATGTTTGACACTTAGATTTCTAAGTATCCATTTGCAGGTTCACTCTGGGGAATCTGACAGTGAATCGGGTGATATGAAGTCAGGGGTCTTGCATGGCTTGCTAGCTGTTGTCCTCTGTTCATAAAGATCTCTAGCTGTGTCCTTGTCTGCTTCAATTGCCATGTCATTGCTCTGCAAGCAAGTGATGGCACAAAATAGGTAAGTGCTCCCCTTTTGTTTTTAACGTGAAATTTCTGCTTCACTGCTTGTAGTATAACAATTGAAATGCATAGTTTGCTTTTTCAGTGGTTTTATATGTACACCTGGTAACTTACATCTCCCTGGCTAGTCTTTTTCTGCTATTTAGATATAATCTCTTTTCTGCATTCCTTTCTACTCCTAGTCATGTGAATAAAACAAAACAAATAAGACGATCACAAGAAAACAACCATCTAAAGATGTTACGAGGGCCCATGCCTGTGCTAACAACCCTGTGTGACAGGTGAGCTTTGTTATACACAAACACGTCTAAATGGCTTGAAGGAGTGAGACGTCTTCTGGTTTGGAGCCTTCTTGGAGTTAGCCCATGACTGTAAACAACTGATAGAGCCTTTGATTTCCTTATTCCACTCTAGTAGTATAGGTGCTTAGAGAATGTTTTCTTGCCTAAAATGAGATAATGTTCATTTTACTTCTAATATTATCGAAATAACCTACCAAGATCTTGGATTATATGAGAGTTAGGCCCCAAAAAAATGGCTTCTTCCAATCATTTATATCCCGTTCTTAAGAAGACTTAAGAGTATTTTCTTTGGAGTTTGTTATGTGAGAATGTTCAGAATATATTCAGTACTCCTACTTCATCAAAGCTGATTGAATTAATATATTTTCCATATGCAGTACTAAAGCAGCTGAATCTTTCTAAAAGTTACCTTTTAGGTTAGGTGACTCTGATGGACTTGCCTCTGGTGGTATTGTCAACCTGAAGCTGACCCTTTCTTAGAGTTGCTGACAATTAGATTAAGGTTTCAGATCAGGATTTTCACAAGCCTTCAAGGAGCAGATATTTTTAAGGACAAGCTAAGTTGTGGTCACGGCACATTCACAAAATATCATCATCATCTTAGCATTCTCAGCATTTTAAGGGAACAGCATCTTGGAAAATGTTTAGTCCTAGGTTAGTTTTTTTAATAGGTTTTAACATAAAATATATTCTATATTATCACATTGCATGCAATGTTTGGGCTGTGAGAGCGAGTTCCTAAATGTGTTCAAAACATCTTCTGAACACAAGTTTAAAATTTCTTGCAAGTATTTTGCATTCTGATTGAAAGTTTTGCTGCCTATTAAAAACCAAAACTGTAAAGTCAAGGGTTTTTTAAACCTAGTTTTATCTTAACCCAGCAGTTTTTTAACAGATCATCTCACCTCTCATCCACAATTACATAGATCCTCTTAGAACAGAAATACATCCTTATGATAGTATAGTTTTATATTAAAATACATAGAAAAGGAATCTGTTTGGAAATATCAGTATTAAATGTAAGTTTTAATTCATTATTATATTTGGAAATAAAGAGGAGCTTCACAGGATCTCTTCAGATCATGGTCCAGAGAAAATCAGTAGCAAAAGAGTGCAGCTTAAGAAATTCTACATTACTTTTACATTTGAATGGGGAAAGCCAAACAGGGAATACCAAGGTAACTGAAATTGATATTGCTAGCATAATTTTTATCTGTAATTGACCTTTTACTTTTAAATTAACACTATTTTTGTAATTGAGTATTTAAGATTCAATACAGGGAAAACAAAGAAAGGAGATATCTGAAGACAGTCTGCTTATTCATTTTATAGGCTTCCCTGATTTTATAAGACCTTTGAAACAATGTGTGCACTCAATTATCTAGCATTCACTGTATCTACTGAGTAAGCAGACAGTTGTGGACTTCAGGGAATTTTCGAACACACGTGCTGTTCAGCCTTAGCAACTTCCTTTTACCTAGGAATTGTTTTCAGAAATTCCCATATAATGAAATTTCTGTTTAAGTTGATAGCCGTAAATGAGGGCACAGTTGCTTCATTTCCTTTTGACAATAAGCCAAATTCATCCCTGGTGGAACTCCATTGATTTAACTCTACTTGAGCTAAGCTACACTGGGGATGAATTTGGCCCAGCTTGAGATTTTTTTTATTCATCTTTTCTTTAATTTCCTTTAGCTTAGTAGTCAATTTAGGGCTGGTCAGAGGATTACAATGCAAGAGAGGGGAAAAGCAAAACTTCTCTGCTCAAGAGTCATTTCCTTTTTAATACCCTACTGATTTAACCATGACTTATAATGTGTTTCAGGTAGCCAAATTTCAACATCAATTTTTGAAGAAAGTTCACTATACTTTGAGGCTCCTTCCTTGGATACCTCCCAAACCACCAAATCACCACCTACTATAGAATGCACATATTATAAAAGGCAATGGAAATATCAGTGCACTGGGAAACAATCTGGATAAACTGCAGTTATCAACTGGTGCCTGATATGGTTATGTTGAGCTCCACTGATTACACATCTCTTTGGCCATTACTTCAAGTGATGGTGGAGCTGCAAGGTCTCAAGATCTGTAATGCCTATAACATCTTATCCCCAGCTACTTCTTGCTGTACTTGACTTTCTGAGAGTCTTGTGTGATTTCTGTCCATGTGGTGCTCATGGCAGTTTGGGGTGTGTTTTTTTTTTGTTTGTTTGTTTGTTTTTTTTTTTTTTTTGGGGGGTGTGGGGGGGTGCGAGGGTGTTTATTTTGTTTTTGTTTTACGTTTAGGTTATTGTGGGTTCACACACAATAAGTTTCAAGTTTGAGCAAAAGCTGAAAGCATCATTCAGCCAAAACTACTGCTGATCTGTGTGTGTTTTTTGTCTGAAACTGTAAATCCACTATGTTCACTGAGGGGTTATCAAACCTGGTCTCAATGTCAAACCTCTAGCAACTCTCTCAAATCAGGCTAGTTCTGTATTTCATTATGGAAGGTTTGCACAGCTCTAGCTAAGCCCACATTTTCCACTTTCAGATAAATGATTTTTCACCTGTATTTATGAGGCTTAAGAGTAAAAATACGCTACCAGATGTTAATGTTAATCACAAGTTTATATCATAAGCACATTCTGACTGTTATCCTCTTTCCA